GTGTGTGTGTGTGTGTGTGTGTGTGTGTGTGTGTGTGTTTGTAGCATGAGTAAGGACAGGCCTTTGGATACTTTTGTAAAAGGGTTCCAAATATTAAGAATTGAAACTCTCTCAGTTTCTGATATTTCTGTCAATGTTTCCTTTGTGTCTCCTTTTTGGGTTTCCACATTTTAATTTTGAACACAGGTAATTCATTTTTGAAGGACCTTTGTGTCGAATTTAGGAGGATCTGTCAGGAGACATGGAATAAAGTATTTATTTATAATTATGTTTGAAGTGAAATGAGGAATCATTGTGTGTTCATTAGCTCAGAATAGACTCTTCAGATATGGAGCAGGTCCTCTTCCACAGATTTCAACATCATGCACTTTCAATGTCTTGGCAGGGCATTCAGGGTGCGTTTAAACCTGCAACCTCACTGCTATAGACGCCACTAAATCCAAAACACTGGTCCAGCAAATAATTATTAAAATAACTCAATTTTGCAATAGTTTCTTCCAATTTAACACCATAAATCTATCGAAAATGCTTTGACATATTTTATTTTATAATAAATTGATTCCACCAGATGCCAATCTAAGTGCAGCTAAAACTTATCAGTCAAATCTCTTGAAATTAATATTGTTTTTCCCCCTCACTTCATCTAACAGGTTAAAAGACATACTACTACATCAAATGAGTAGAGAGAAAAAGGCCTCCAGCATTTCTAAATATCATAATCCGCTCCATCTTGAGAGTGGACAAATGTGTACTTTGCCAAGTTGGAAAAGAAACTCCAGAGTACCAAGCAAGCCAATTATCTAACTTTCCATAGAGATCTGAGGCCCCTGCAGTTTACATCTTCAGTACAAAATCATTATATGCTAGACAGACATGGAAGCTGCAGCCTGGACTGCACCATGTAGCGATGCCAGCACAACAATGCTGATTTAAGATTACAGAGGGACCCACTGATAAATAGATATATAGATACTCAAACGGTGCTCTGAAGAGTACAAATGTGTACTTAGTAAATTAAATATTGACTCAAATGTGACATGTATTTGACCACTGTGCACAGGCACTAGTTCTCCACTGCATTTCCTACCCATCTACATTGGATGAGAGCTTGTTCATCACTTTGCAGCAAAAAACAGCAGCATTTCAGAAAGAGGACAGTTGTAACCAAGGCTGCAGGGCTGGGAAAATGTAATATTACATATACAGAAGCTATACACTAATGTAAATAGCAATGTAATGTTTCGGCTTACAATGTAAACTGAATAACAGTTTTCAAAGCATTCAAACTCCCGCTGCAATCTCACTTTACTCCTATCATCTAATATCATTTCTTTTCTGTCGCTGTGAGATAGGGAACTATTTATATCCAGTGTGCAGCATTGCAACTTTAGCAATGGAGGTAAACTGCACCCAGCATGCTCATGCTCTCCAGCCAGGCAATTATTTTATAGTTTAAACCAAAACGTTTGAACCTGAAGACACAGTGTTGAGTCCAGCTGTCTGACTCTGGTGCTGCTCACATAATAATAATCTCAAATAATGTGAAATTCTAATAATTCTGACAAAGAAGTAACTATTTCTTTGACAGTTTGTTCTGACTGTCCCTTGTATCATCAGCTCTACATGGATCCTCAATGGCCTGAAGCAGATGTGTAATTGCCAGAAACAAGTCACATTGAAAACATCCATGTTTTGATTTGTTCGTGCTACAACACGTAGTAACGGCACAATCTTCTCTGTGTCACTTCACCTTTGTGATTTAGGGTATAAAGAAGTCATATTTTACTTTTACATTTTGCACCTTCATGGGGGGAGAAAAGGATCTTTAGTTCAGTTCAGAATGATAGAAGACTAAAGGCCACTATCTAAAAACGTTTCAGTTAAAAACACAGCACTTCCCATCAATCTTCTGTATATTGTGAGCAAAATAGGTGAATAAACTAATTGAAACAGTCGATCGTTGATACGTTTATAGTTATAAAACTTTTTTTATTGAGCTGGGATATTTTTGAAGCATGTTTCTTTCCCTACAGTTTTGCAGCAGTAAAGGAACTGAAATAAACAGTGACATGTTTATATGTTTATGTGGGAGTGCATGCATTTATTCATTTCTATGCAGGTCTTGTGAGAGTTTGTTTTTGTGTGTATTGGCACATGAGCCAAATGCAATGTAAGGTGAATTGGGAGTTTGATGGTGAAATGTTCTTGTTAGTGGGAAATATGCTTATTCAAATCCCTGGTGGTCTTTTCAGTTTTAGCAAGGCAATCAATTTGTGGCCGAGCAAGTCCTGGCTCCATGGATTCTCAGTGTGTGATGTAGACAGAAATGGTGCAGAATGACAGTCCTTTCTATTCATGTGCTGCAAATAACACTTACCCTTTCCTGAGCATTTGAATCTGTGGGAACGTCACTTTCTTGTCAATCTTCATCTCTGTCAGAGCGTGAGAAGTGAATAGTTATGTTGTGCGAATAAAAAACAAAACAAAACAGAACTTGACTTTACTTTAATAAAAGAGCCTCTTGTATTTCTATTTGATTCAACCTCTATATTCTCTTTCTCTGTGGATTACATCAGTGGACTTCTTTTTTTTTTTATTGCCATAAACAATGAGGCTTTGACAAGTAATGCCTCATGTCATTTCATTTTTCTGAAGAAACCCAAGTGGGAATGAAAGGAAAGAAAGGGAAATAACATAGTTCTAGCAATTTTGTACTTCTGACAACACAGCTCATGCGTTTACCCTTGTCCAAGTACAAGTAGTGCCTCCATTCATGTGTTCATGGCAGTTTCCTGCTGTGCAGCTAAGGTAGTGATGGTATATTATGGGGGTAGAGAGCAGTGGAAACAAAGCTTTAGTTGAAGTGTTTTGGGACCACGCTGTGGGAAAAGGGCTTTAGATAGTTCACTGTCTCATAAATCAGCCATTGTATTGGACTATACTTCATGAGTAAAAAAGAAAGGTTGAGATCTATGAGGCTCTGGGTGGATGTCTGAGTTTAATACTTCTAACTTCTGTCTTTCTTTTCTCCAACTATATGTTCTCCTCTTTAGTGTCAGCAAACGACTGTGACTCAGAAGAGAATGCAGAATTGACCTATTACACCCTGAGTCAGGACTTCACCATTTCCCCTCACGGGACCATCTTCCCTGTGGGGCCTCTGGACTACGAGAGGCCCAACCATCTGTACGAGTTTGTTGTGATGGCAATAGACAAGGGCGAGGTCCCTCGGACTGGTACAACTACAGTGCGCATCCGAATGGCTAATGTCAACGATGCGGCGCCTGAGTTCTCCCAACAAGTGTAAGTAAGAGCTGGGCTTGTCTGAGTCTTATGCAGTTGTTCATTGTGCAAGAGACAAAACAATGGAACGTGGTTTCGATGGTATACGATGACACTGAGTTTGTTTTTGGTATTTAAGCATTTAAACCCTCCTTACCCTGTGTCTGATTCCTCCCTGCTGGTGAGGGTGAGCCACTTAGAAGCAGATGGTCATTCTGGTGACAGCAACATGTTATACAAAAGAACTCAAGCTGTTAGAGTGTCACCCTTGATTCTTTATCCGTTCTGGAAAGCATCGTCGCGGACAAACAATCTGGGCCTGCCTCTCAAGGGTAAGATCTTCTGAGTGCCAGGATGATCTTACTAGGTTAGTCTTCACACATTCCCGTTGAACATATATCATTGACACAGTCCAAGCTGTTTGGATGGTTGCAGAGATGAGCCAACAGATGTTTTGATGACCAAGTCATTATTTATCAAGGAAAAATGCATTCGAAAGTTTAACAAATAATTTATAAGGTGTTCTGTTCTGTTTTATATAAATGCAAATTGAATGTATTGTTTGAAGTGTTTGTCATACAGAACAGAATAATTGATACTGGAAATGATCATTAGATGCGTGCCTCCTTCTATTTTAGCATCTGATGAAATGCTTCAGTTCAGGGTGAAGTGTTGCCTAAAACATTTTGACATCATCAAACCTAAATACCACGGGATAACAGCTCAAATTCAGAATTTAGATTTGATGGTTTTGTGTGGGTTTGAAAAGAAAGCAATTAATAAATGAATGAAGCGTCATGCACAACTCTTTTATAAGTAAAACGTACAGTACAAAGTACATGAAGCACATCAAATTCAGACAACCAAAGCTTTTTTACTAAGAGCCCCAAGAGAGAGAGACAGACAGAGACAGAGAGAGAAAGCTTGACTGTCCTGCCTTGTCAGGTCAGTTCCTCACAGCTGCTTCCCTATCCAACTTCGCAGCTGCCGTTACCCACAATTCCAGCACACCCCTGCCCCCATCCCCCTGCAGTGCCGCTGTGGCGCCTGCATCTTTTAATTGGTTGATTTTCTGGCAGAGAGCTGGAAAGATTGGTGAGGCAGGGTCAATCAGCCATGCCCACCAGCACCCTCAGGAGGCCCTGAGCTCGCACTCAGTGTGTGTCTGTGTGTGTGTGTTCAGTAATTAGGAAGGTCCCAGCAAAGTAGGGCGTTGGTATGGACAGAGTGATGTAGTCATACAGTGCATTCATGCATCACGCATTCGATATGCATGTGTTTACGCTGTTTATGTTGTTAACAGAGGGAGTGGATTCATGTTTACGTGTTTGTGCGTGTGCATGCCTGCGTGGGTTGGTGCGTGTGTTCGGTTTTATTGATTTACTGTCAGCGACAGCCGCATAATCAGTCACTTTTTTTCCTTCTGTAACCCTCAACCCTCTGCTGCAGCTGAAACAAAACCAGGAGTGGACAATCTATGATGTATCACTCAAACACACGTACATGCTCTGCAGAGCTTCACATACACACTTGCACAAATGCATTGAAATGCTCTCAGAGACACACACACGTGAGGGCTATAATTAGCAAACACATATGTGATGTCTTTGAGGAAACAAATACAATGGGAAGAGCTTGGAACGTACAAATTTGAATTCATTACCGTCCCTATAGATTCACTGTGTTTGTGTGTGTGTCTGCTTGCGAGACTGTGGGCATGTGTGTTGAGTCAATGCATGTGATGGACAAAGAGGAAAAAAAGGAGAGAGGTCATTAAATATATCAGCATCCAGGCAGGAAATCTGGCCTATTTGCATCGATTCTTGGAGTTGGAAGCATGGGATAATGAGCATCCATGTGTATGTGTGTGTGTGTGTCCGTGTGTTTCTAGTGTTCACAGTATCCAAAAATTATCCTGAACACTGAACAGTGTTATTTTTGATTTAGTCAAGTTGCTAATTTCTTTTGAGGGAAAGAAAGAAAGAACTACTTGTTTTTCTTGGTTTTACATTCACTAACTCTCAGATCTGCGTGGCTCTCTTTTCCTGTGAGTGACTGAATGGTTATTTTTCATACATGTGCTGTCAGGAGCCTATTACTGTACCTGCTATCGCCTTTCTGCTGCCCTGGAAACCACTGCTTTCTGCACCTTTCTCACCTGTGTGTCTTCTCATCTCATATGCACTGTGTAAACACATTATATGGCAGCTTAACACAACACTGCAGCTAAAGCCTTCTGCACACCAGAGGACGATCGGTCCAATTTCAGGGTTCCAACAATCTCGGGATCGTGTTTAGATCATCCGGCCAAATGATCCAGTAGAGTGAGGGGTTTACAGGTATAATATTACCGTCACCTTCTGTGTCAGAGTCTCCCCAATCTTAAATTATAAAATCCTTAATATCAAACATGTTTTATACCCATTGTTGACTTTTCTCTGCGTTTTCACAAATAAAAAATTGGTTACATCTGTCTCTTTTTCTGTGGTCTCCCTCGATTTAAAATATAATTTAAGATCTGAAAATCTAGTTTGCAGGAGACATAAGTGCAGATACATTCACTCTTTTAACTGTTCCTTACTGCCTATGTGGTGGAAAGGTAAATAGAAACTGAGTAAATTGATTGACTGAAATTTGTAATTCAGTCACCAACCTTTCACAATAAGGCAACTAAATAAAATAGCTTACATTCACACTGGCTGATGATCTACAGGTTCTACAGCTCAGCTGTGTTCATACAGAAGGTTTATCTTGAAAATGGCAATAAATATGAGAGAGAGAGAAAATACCAGTACTATATATAATGAAGCATTTTCCATCATATGTCAGTTTGTTTCATTATTGGCAAGATGTAACAAAATGAGAGATTACACCACATTCAATAATACTTTAGGTTGATTGGACGAAAGCTGTATTTTGTGTTATTTTTTAGGAAATACTTAAATAAATGTTAAAGGTTCAGTGTGTAAGATTTAGGTGAAAGGGAACTATTGGCAGAAATTTAATGTAGAATAATCCTCATGATGTTTTCACTAGTTCATTTCATCTAAATTGTATGAATTGTAGTTTTCTTTAGCCCAGAAAAGGTCCTTTATATTTAAATACTTTATATTTACATTGAGGGGACCCTCTCTACGGAGGCCACCATGTTTTTTACATTAGTCCAGACTGGACAAACTAAACACCTTCTGAGTTTTTATGACAACTGAAGCTACCACAGGTTCTTTTCATGTTTGGAAGGAGAGGGTGAGGTGTGGGGTGTTCAGCTGCAACATGCAATTTCAACACTAGATATCACAGACCTCTTTTAACTATAGTAACTGTAGGCAAAAGTGTGGAAAGGAGGATTGAAATACAGCAAGATTTCATATTGTGCAGAATTAAGCATATCAGATAATTATAACTTACACTAAATCTGACATGTAATGTTCATTAGTGACTACCCTAACAAATACCACAGATTCATTTGTATAGTTTACTCTGAATTTTTACACAACACTTTTTAAATATGCACGAGTAACATCGTGAATCCAGAGAGGAAGGGGGCCCACAGAGACTGCTTGTGTATAGGGCCCAAAATCTTGTGCTATGCCCCTGAAGCTTGATAGGACTTCACTCTTATGATTTGAAAGTCACTGTCTGGGGGAGAGGTTTAGCTGTCAGTGTTTCAGTTCTTATATTTTTGTATTGTAGATCGTCAGGGAAAGATCAAGGCCAAGCCTTGTTTTTCCTCTACATGTAACGACTTATGACTAAAGTCCCTGATATAATCCCTGCTGATATCAATTTTTTTTTAATCTTTTATTCATTCATTGTCTCTGTCATGACATATTGATGTCACTGTCTGGAGCCATTTCTTTATAACTCATGCCTCACCTCAGTGTTATTGTTCTGGGAGACAGTTTTTCACCAAATCAAATTTCGCTCATGCAAACATTTCTCATGCCCTGTTTGTTGTTTCCCTGTAATCACACAGTCTCCATGGAGCAACGATAACACTCTCATACAGTTAGTTCCTCTCTGGGGTTTGATTAAACCCCTCAAAACACATCTCGGTTACATATTTAGAAGTTTTCTTTCTGTGAAAACATCCTTTCATGGCCTTAAAATGACTTGTATGTATCTCTACACCTTTACCTCATTTAGTCTTTGCAGTTCTATCAATATATATAAATAAGCCATGTTTCTATCTCCACCCACCACTTAGTTGCTCGCCTGCAGCTCCTTGGTCTGATCGTCACCTCGAGTTTAGCTAACTTTAATTCAGCTCAAGTTTTTTGTACAGCACAAAATCACAATACACATTACCTCAATGCACTTTGCATTGTAAGTTGCATTTTAGAAGAACCCAAGCACTTGGTGACAGCGAACAGAAAACAACTTTTAAGAGGAAGGAACCTCTAGAACCAGACTTGAGTTGTCGGCCATTTGCCTCGACCGGTTGGGGTGAGAATAAAGAAATGAGGGGGAGAGGAGAGGAAGGTGGAAAAATCTCTGCACCAGCTGTCTGTATGATACATCAGTGTGATGTCATGTGACATTTGCATAATGCAATTCTATATAGACAAGAGCTAATAAGGCCACTAACAGAAGCTACAGCAATAGACAGTGATTTGTTTTCTGAATAGTATAGCATGTAACGCAAATTACAATTCTGAACCCCGATCATCTGTTCTATCAGATCAAGTTCTATCTGAAGCAACAAAGAAAAATAATATCATCGAACAGCACTTAGTTTTGTCACCCTGTACACAACACTGTTTCCTAGAAATGATGTTGTTACGTTTAGGAGGGAGCGGGTAATGGAACAGGTGAACCCAAAATGGCAGAACAAAGGGCTTTAACAAAAAAGTCCTTTAATAATTAAGGCAGAGCTTTTACAAAGAAAACAAACAAAATCCAAAATAACAGTAACTCAAAATAGCTTCTCAGCAAAAACAGGGGAGACACAAGAAGACACTACAGAATTTACTGGAGGGGGGAGGAACAACGACAGAGTGGTGAGGCGACACATACAACAC